ATAATAAAAAAATAAGTTAAAGAAATTACATAAAAAATGAAAACTTTTAAATAGTCGATTTGATATTAACATTGATATATTTTTTTCAAAATTTTATGATATCTTCAAATTTATATTTTATTCAAAAATAAAATCATTATTGCTTTCTTAAAAACACATAAAATCGTATTATAACATTGAGGAATACAAATAATAAAATAGAACATTAAAATCAAGATATGTCTCGCTGCATTGCACGAGTACTCTTCTAGTTAATTTAATATGATCCTGGAAATTTTGGTGTGGATTTATAAATTATAAATTATTATCATCAAATTTTAGGGGTTGTTTATTTACCTCTAGATGTGTGATTCGCTCAGATGTAGACACGTTTGGCAACATTTTTTTATGCAACTGAATGATTAAATACCATCTGATTCACTCAACCCCATATGAATCAGATTGGTCTTCTTCCCCCCTTCCCCTTGCCATTGCGTCTTCATTTCCATCCATTTCCCACAGAAACGATCTCCAGTGTCACTCGTCAGACCTTCGTTGGAATTCCCTAGACACTCTCGATTGCCTCTCTCGTTCCAGTCTCTATCACTCACGCTCAGAAGGTAAACCCTATGTTCCACTCTCGATCACTCACACTTTGAAAAAGTGAAGCCTTTTCATATAATGTTCAATTTGAAAATGATTTCTCATTCATCTTGTTTAAATAAATGGGTTTGTTGTTAATATTACCATAGAGCAAGTAAATCATATAAAGTCTCTTAACCATTTTGATCACTTAATCATTTTGTACTAAATCATTTAGGATCCGTCAAACAAACCCTTAATTTTAAATTTTACATTTTACCTTTTACATATTCTGGTTCTCTTACTAAAAGGTTGATGTATTGAAAATTTAACCAACCCTCAACCCTTTTTCTCTCTATAAAAAAAACCTTCATTGATGTACATACATATTATACTCTCTCTTTGATTATTCTTCAAAACCTACTTCAAATTTTCCTTTCTCTAAAGACTTTTAGGGTGAGACAATGGGGAGGAGATGGGTTTTGACGTATAACTTTTGTGTTTCTTCTCATCGTCCCCTTCATGTCACGACCACTAAAGATACCATCAAATCTGCCACCAAGGACATTTTTTTTATGTTCTCTTCTCCAAGGTAAATCATTTTGATACCTAAGATGTAAATTTTAAACATTTAAGTACTCAGATAACTGGTTAAACCATTAACCGGTTACCATGTTGTTGTGGCAAGTGATGAGATGAAATTGGGTTAAATAGCAAATAATACTGAGTTGGATACCACATCACTCGCCACATCAGCATGATAACTGGTTAATGCTTCAACCTGTTACCCATTAACCGGTTACCCGGATACTTAAATGTTTAAAACCTTACATATTAGGTGCCAAAATGAAAGTTTTGAAAGTACGTTACCCAAAATATGAATCAAGTTAAAGTACGTTAAGAACACATTCAACCAATCATAATTTTTTCATTTGATGGCAGGATTCCAACATTGTTGTGTGTTAGACATGCCACTAAAGGCAAGGGTACAACGTCATGGTAGAAAAGGCGATAATGAATGATATGATTATGCTCTAGCAAATGGGCTATGTTGATAAGATTGGAATGATTGATGGAATATTAAAATTTTACTAGACAAGAGCCATTTTAATCTTTGAATGGTATTGTCACGATGCAATCAAATAGCTCACATGTTACTCGTATACGTTAAACGTGTAGGATCGGTCACAGTTACAATATTGTATTACCAACTGATTTACGGTCTCAAACAGATAACAATAATTCCCAATGCAAACTGACCAGATACAACATATGTGGATTAACGAGATCTAAATATTGTATATTGCAGTCTAATTCTAAATATTCCAATGCAACTTCATATGGTGCCACTTAGGTAGCCTTAAAAGTAGCCCTAATCACTTTTGATCACCATGCTTTCTTTGCTTGTACTTTCAGCTCTAACATCTGTAAGCGACTCCAATATGGTGCCACTTAGATTGCCTCAAAAGTAGCCCTAATCACTTATGATTACCATGGTTCCTTTGCTTGTACTTTCAGTTGTAAGATTTGTACAATATCTAATTTCTCACAAATTCAACAAAACGATGATTGATCTAGCGGCATCTGGATTATCAGTAGAGCACATCCTTCAAGAACGTTAAAGATTTAAACATCACCAAAGAAAAAAGTATACATAAGTATTTATTTATATCTGAATATTAACTTAAAAAAGTTACCTTTATATAAATGTTTTTCTAAATCCGATGCCAATGCTTTTAAATTTAATGGTTCACCCCGTACTCTATGCCTCCTGTAAGGCTATTAGAGCTCGTTTATTGGACAGGTCTTTGGTGATAATTAGTAATTATATGCTGATTAAAAGTTTTAAATAATCAAAATATATTACTAATAATTGGAATATTAAGATTCATTCAAATAAGACGATAAATAATTTTAACAAAAAATGTTTTAACGTTATAAGAATAAGTCGTTAGATTGTTATATAACAAGCTAACAAAGATATCATGTTTTAAGGATAGTCTTTATACTATATGGTATGATGTATATCAGTATATGACTTCTAGTATTCAATTTATCCTTGATTTTTTTAATCTTCGATCTGAGGGGTTCGAGAGGGTTGTTTATGGTTTTCCTAAAAATCTCGATATGGAATTTGATATATTATATTACTTGATAAGACGGTTAGAATTTACAACGAGAGTTGTGGGACTTTAGTCCCAATGTCTATTGAAAATGACATAAAATGAAGCGATATAATCCAAATTTCATATGGCAGTTTGATAATATGCGACTTACGTATTCATTTGATATCGTATTTTTTAACGGTGTGAATCATATCATAGTTTTGTTATTATGTTTGGTTGTCATACATAAATCACTATAACACACACACACACATATAATAAGATTTGTTTTGCAAAATTAGGGTCATCCACGTGAGATACCCTTATGACTCAAGCTTCATAAGCTAACATAATATAAGATTTGTTTTGCAAATATAAGGTTATCCAAATAAGATAACATTATGATTCAAACCTCATGAGTTGACACAATGAATCTCATCATTCTTTCTTATACACACGTCCTTATTCCCATCTTTCAATCTCTCACCAGCGTGCGATATCTCAAATTCAACCACAATTCAACAACACCTCAATACTCAATTCTCATGATATCACATCAATACTCTTGGTTCCTCTTTTAGTATATATATATATATATATATATAGAGAGAGAGAGAGAGAGAGAGAGAGAGAGAGAAAGTCATCCAAATAAGATAACCACATGACTCAAGTCTCACGAGCTAACACAATATAATATTTGTTTTGCAAAAATAAGGTTATCCAAATAAGATAACATTATGACTCAAATCTCATGAGTTGACACAATGAATCTCATCCTTCTTTCTTATACACACCTTCTTATTCTAATCTTTCAATTTCTCACTAATGTGGGATATCTCAAACTCAACCACAATTCACTAACACCTCAATTCTCAATTCTCATAACGTCACCTCAATACTCTTGGTTCTTTTTTTAATATATATATATATATATATATATATATATATATATATAGATTTTGAAATTGCACTTACGACCTTTCAACATTTTGTATGCTGTAATGAATACGTTAGTTTAGTAAACGCAATTCGTCAACAGATAATTTAAGTTCAAAATTAACTATTTCATTTGTTTTGCATTAAGTGCTTATTAAACTACCCATTGATAGACAACTCTCAAGTTTTTACGGTTGATTGCATAAATATAATTATAACATCACTATATTGAAAATGTGTCTAGCATTTTACTGCTATTCTTATTGACAAAGTCAATGACAAGTCACTGTGTACATTTTAATTCAACCTTTCTACGGTGGAGAAAATATTGGCTACATCAATTAACGAAGCTGTATTCTCCAATGTTTTTATATCAATGACTGAGATCATCACATTAATAGTGTAATATATATCTGATAAATATTTTGAAGGAAGATATTACAAATCAAATAGTAAAATGAGAAAAAATTAAGAGAGATACCTGTAAGTAGGGGTGTTCATGGGTTGAGTTGATCGGGTTGAAGACATTTGAACAACCCAACTTAATGCTTACGGTTTGAAAAATCTTAACCCAACCCAACCCAAACCAAAGTGCAACCTAACCCAACCCGTACGGGTTGGTCGGGTTGATACTTTGGTACATTAAAATATTCTTCTAACCTTGAATATGTTATTTTTTTACTCATAATTTCTTTTCATCATCAACCATTTGATACAACTTATCCATACTTCTTACGTATATCACATTCAGTTAATTTTCTCAATTTACATATATATGTTCACAGTTACTGAACATATATACGAATAAGTTATATAGAGACTGAATAGATTGAAAATATGTATATATGAAAAACGTACGCGATAGTGTAACTGTTTAATGTATATATTAATAGAAATTTAACGATTATATTAAATCCAAGAAATAAAAGGATATCAGGTTCATCGGGTTGGGTTGGGTTCTAATAATAGCAACCCAATATCAACCCAATACCTACGGTTTGAAAGTTTTACAATTTCATTAGACATCAGGTTGCTTCGAACTGAGTTATTTCGCGTTGGATTAGGTTGGGTTGATCGGGTTTTTGAGCACCCCTACTGTAAGTGCATTAGGTGAGTTCATATGGAGTTTCAAAAACATAAATACATGTTATCTTGAAGAAATACTGATATCAAAGCAGAGTACTTAAATAACAAATTTTCAAAGTTATTTAATACATTTTTATTTTTTTGAAGGTTTACTATTCACGATGGGTTGTAAAAGGATAAAGTGATGATACTGATAATTAGCCGAAACAACAGTCTTTTTACACAGACTATGTGTAGCCTCAACAATTTTGCTGATCAATAGAGATTTATAGATTGTACAGTGACAATCACAATATTTGATTTACTTCCTTTGTTTTCCAGATAAATGTTACTTTTTGAATTGATTAATACTTTAGATCAACAATTTAATGTCCAAAATCCTTTAATGTACATAAAAATTCCAAGTTATGGGTTGTTTACCAAATGTTTACTTGAGTAAGCGTTTACCAAGTCACATTACCTTACCGGATGAATATGACAAGAACCGATAATCTTACCCCGTAAGAGCAAAGACAAGGACCGAGAGTCTTAACCGGTAAGTGATGACGACGATTCTTACCACGGTTAGCGCTTACCGGATAAATTATTACATACAATGTTGTTTTGGTGGACTCAAATCTTACTCGATAAATAAACGATAATGTTGAATTTTACCGGGTAAGTGTTTAAGTAAACGACCCCTTAAACAGGTATAACATTCTATTCTAGTCATCTAACTAATATATTTCATATATATCTTAAACTATAATATATTATCCTTTTTATTTGAACATGAATTAACGAAAAAATCAATCAACATTGACTCATATTTTATTTTTCTAACTTACAATTATTTAATAAAAATAAATGATGGAAATTTTGTTAAATAATTTAATAAATAAAGTGTTAATATCATTTTTAATATTTTATATGCCCCTAAGAGTTGACAAATACAATCGTAGATGCTTTATAATAATAATAATAATAATAATAATAATAATAATAATAATAATAATAATAATAATGATAATCCTAAGAACAACGCATTATCTATTACTATATGCTCAATTATTCCCCATGATATCGTATGGTGTACCCCCCATTCCTTGAAACTTAAGATTGAAAAAGGCTATTACCCTACCCACCACCCCCTCCAAATTACCAAAATACCCATTCTCTATCTAACCCAATTTAATTAAGCATTTTAAGTTGATGACTACTTATCTATAATAAAATTGATGTATTTTAATCATTAAGCAAACTACACTTAATTATTTCACCCAACAAAATCTTTGTTTTAAATCATTCTAGGGGTTGTTTACCAAACGCTTACCAAGTAACATTATCTCACCTGATGAGTATAATAAGAACTAATAATTTTATCCGGTAAGAACGAGACAAGAACCAAAAGTCTTACCCGGAAAATGAGGGCGACGACTTTTACCACTGTAAGCGCTTACCGGGTAAATTGTTGTATGCTATGTCCTTTTTGTAGACTAAAATCTTACCCGGTAAGTACATAATAGTGTTAAATTTTACTAGTAGACACTTACCGAGTAAGTGTTTGATAAACGGGCCCTTAATTGATGTTCTTAATCCTAAAAAATATTATAGTCCAATAAAATAATATTTTAAACGTTAATTTATGATTATTTAAATATTCTCCTAAATGTTTTTTTTTTACACAATTAATCAGGGCATGTTTGGTTAAGGTTGAGAAATGAAAATGAGAATGGCTTTTCATTCCATCCAGTTTAACCTGAAATAAAATTTTGGGTTTTTAGGAGGATGAACTCATTGTATTATATAAAATCCAACAACTTCTTTTATTATTATTCCTTATGATTACTATTTAATATCTCTAATCAAACACCCCCTCAATGTAATTTTATATGCATTTATAGATATAAAAATATATGAAGACTCTGAAAATGATTATATATATATATAGACGAATATTATGCAACCCTTTACATTTGTACAACCAATACAACTTAATCTCAACCTTACATTTAATCTAATGAATATGTGATTTCATAAATTTTTTGATTGTTTTCTAATATAAAGTATTAATCATAATTAATGAACTCTAGTCATCTTTTATAAATATTCAAAGCATAATAAATGAACTCTTATCATTTCCATAAATATCTCAATTGATTGGGTTACATTGATTATACAAATGTGATGAATTGCATTTGAAATGTTCTATATATATATATATATATATATATATATATATATATATATATRKGGTATATTTCAAATGCAACCATGCTCATCAAATTAAATGGACGGTTAAGATTGAGTTATATTGGTTGTACAAATATAAAAGGTTGTATAATAACCTACCCTTCTCTCTCTCTCTCTCTCTCTCTCTCTATATATATATATATATATTACCTTTATATAAATTAAACCATATCGTTTATTTTTTATATTATTTACATTATGAGTTTCATCTTTTATTAATCTTCCAAAATAAAATCTTGAACTGCGAAAAAAAACAAATGAACATTTTTATGTAAATATATTATTTGTTTTTATTATCTGGTCATTAAATTCTATATCTTGATCAATTTATTCAGTACTTTTCAAAAATATATCATATAGTTCTAGAACTATTTTTGTATTTATTACACTCAGATATTTATATCAAAACAAATTATTGTAGTTGGATTTTTTATATATTTTCCAACGTGTATAATGTTAAGAGATATTACCTAATTTTAATACTAAAAAATCATTTTGCAATGGTTTTCTTGATGATTTTTATGTCGGTAATTAATATTTTTTATGACAATGTTTGTCTATTTTTTACAAATTTAATCATTAGGGTCATAATATGTTTTTAAAGTGTCGAGGTCAATATGGTCAATCCAGAAAGAAGACATGTCTATTTTGGTAATTTGGACCTAAGTGCAACCTCCACCTTTTCAAAAACAATCGCAAAGTTTTTCTCAGCCCACTTCCTCCCCCACTTTCTCTCTCTCCTCCGGTTCTCTCCTGGTTTTCAGACTCCACACTCCCCCTCTTCTATGTTCTCCTGCTTCACACCAAGTGTGTGTGTGAGAGTGCGTGTTTTATGAACAATTGGGGGTCTTGTGTGGAACGAATGACAGCATCAACCTGCTTAGACACCAGCAAAAGGGACCAACTTATAACTGAAGTGGTGCAATTGCTTCAAAACAACAACGGAACTGATGGTGATTATGACGATATAAAGAGCAACATAGGAGAAGGTTGTTCGAAGATGGTGATCAGAGAGTGTAGGATATGTCAAGAAGAAGATGAAGAGCACGATTTGGAATCTCCTTGTGCCTGTAATGGCACCCTCAAGGTTTTGCCCTGATTTTTGTTGCTCATCTTTTGCGGGTTTTCTTAATGTTCTAATGGTGAATTTCACACTTATGATTTTCGTATTCAAAAGTGGTACCCGATTTTTGAAGTTTGTTTGCATCCTACTTCCAATTTCCGTCCATTTTTATAGTTAAAGATTAGGGATTCGAAAGTCACACTTTTAGCGTGTTGGTCATGCCCCCTTTTGATAAAGAGCAAGTAAACCTTATGCCTCGCCCCTTTGGGTTAATCGCACCCCCTTTTGGTTTAGCCGTTTAGGTGCTTGAACTCTGATCCTTTTCATTGCATAAGTTTTGTGGTTTCCACAAGTGGGTCCACGTTTTCTTCTGATATATTATCTTGTTTTAAAGCAAAAGTAGGTTTTATGATGATTCAGTGGAGTTCATTTATTTGTTATACTTTCTTGCCAGCTCCCCTTTTGTTGGCACATCTAACTAATGGATCTTCTATGATTTCCCTCATTTAAATTTGTATAATCTAACTGCAAATTGAACTTCAACCCAAAAAAGCATCCAATTTAACCACAATAATCGAATTGAATTCAAGTCTGCAAGCGTTGTATGCAGTATGCACTATGTTATTGACCTCTAATCTGATTCCCAATTTGCATTGCAATTCTTTGTTTGTGGATTGTAGTTTGCTCATAGGAAATGCATTCAGAAATGGTGCAATCACAAAGGGGACATAACCTGTGAGATTTGCAGTCAGGTTTGTACTTTTCTTTTTACTCCTCCATTTGCAAAATTTGGTGAATTGGGTTTTTGTTGTTGGAATCGTAATGTACTTATGACCCGATTCATAGGTTTATTCACCGGATTATGCTCTTCCACCAGCAAGAAGCAATCCTGATGTTATGACTATTGATATCAGGTAAATTTGGTGGAATCATTGTTAACTAAACTTCCTCATCTGAAAATCTGCACTTATTACGTTCTTTTTTTCTTCCTGATATAACGTTTTGGGTGATCATTGACATCTGTGTGGTCCAACGGCTCAGGGGTGTAAACAAATATCTCATCTTCTTTTGCATAAGGTTTACTTGTTCCTTATTACCGTTGTGTCCTTTAGGCATGCATGGGGCCCACAAATTGATCTCAGGGATACTCGCTTCCTGGCCTTTGCTTCTGCTGAGCACCGGTTTCTTGAACCAGATTATGAAGACTATGCTGTAGCAAGTAATAGCAGCGTTGCTTACCTCCGTTTCATGGCTCTCATTGTAAGTGAATAACACGAGTACAAGTCATATGGAAGTTCATAAACAGCTGCTTGCAAATGCATATAGTATCAAACATTGGTAATTATAAATAATATACTTGCATTTGCAGTTGATGCTGATATTGCTGGTACGCCAAGCTTTGCTAATCACAAGAGACTTGGGGATGGTGCCAGAGTCATCAAAGTTCTTCAACGTAAGTCCAGAAGGCATCAAGGAGATCTTCGTTGATTGCACAAACCTTGTGGTTCCCCCTTGTTTTTTTTTTGCTTTTGTTTTGCAAGCCGGGTTAAGGCCTGCGTTAATCCTACCCCCAGACCTTATCTCTATGTGGAATATACTGGGTTTATTTGGTTTGATTTTGTTTGGGTACAAGAATATGGACCTAAATAGTGGTAATTTGATTTGACCTTATGTATAGTTTGCAATCATTGACTTTGTTTTGTTGACCTATTGAACAGATTCTCCAAACTTTTTCATAAATTGCAATCTTAACTGGTTTACATTGGTTCGTATGAATTGCAGTTTCAGGTTTCCGTTCTTCAGCTGGCGGGTTTTCTTCTTCCATGCTACGTGGTTAGTCGCTCATGGTTGATGATTATAAGGCAAAGAAGAAGGCAGGTGAGTTGCTTTAATTATACTCCTTTTCTTTGTTTTATTAGCCAGATCTCATGGCCAAAGTTACTAAAATCATGGGTTCTTTTGATAATCGTGGTTGTGTGGACCAACTTTTATGTTTGAGGACTCGAACTGGTGATCACTGATCATGTAATATGCTTAAAGACATTGGTTCCTTGTTTTCCCAGGTGTAATAATAGCAATCAGAGAAGAGCTTCTGTATATCCATCCGATAAGCAGTTCCAAGGCGATGGCTATGAAGTTGAATGCAGTAAATATTAGCAGCAGTCAGCAGTTCCTGAATCAAAGATGTTTTCCTCTTAAAACTGAATCTGGTTTCAACTGCTTCAATTGATGCCATCTTTCTTGCACATTATGTAAATTGTGAATATGGTGATTGGTGTTTCTTGCATTTTCGTTCTAATGTTGGACCCGTCTGATTCGCTAGAGTTTGCGACAGGATTTAATGTCGGAAATTAATGGAGAATCGCTTTCAACTACTTCTATTCGGAATATGAAACAACATTTAATACAACATTTCTACCAGTTACTAATATCACTAGTTATGCATCGCTTCAATCATGAATCCAGAGTTTGATTTAATGGTTACCAAGTAAAGGGCCAAAGAGCCTTGTATTAAAGAGAAATGATTAAGGGGCTGTTTACCCAACGCTTACTCGGGTAAGTGAACACCAAGTCACATTACCTTACCGGATAAATATGGTAAGGACCAATAATCCTACCCGGTAAGAGTGAGACAAGGACCAAGAGTCTTACCCGGTAAGTGAGGGGGACGACTCTTATCACGGTAAGAGGTTACTGGGTAAATTGTTGCATAAGATACCGTTTTGGTAGACGAAAATCTTACCGGGTAAGTAAATGATAGTGTTAAATTTTACCGGTAAACACTTATCGGGTAAGTGTTTGATAAATGATCCCTAAGTTTAACTGGTTGTGGGACTCCAACACGCCCCTCCAAAGGAGGTGAGTCGGACATAGATTGTTAAGTGGTTGAGAAGGGGCTAGACGGGCATCAAGTTATCCCAGAGTGTCGAGTCCATAGAATTACAACAACAATGAAAATGTGTCAACACAACCGTTAGTTCCTTGAATGTTTCTTACTTTCACCAAAGGGTTATTAGCGTAGTGTTATCCGGTAACCCAACCTTCATAGAGGTCAAAGGTTTAAACATAATTGAATGTAAGGAGTATGTGTAAGTTTCATTTGGTCGTATATAAATAGGGAAAGTTAAAAAAGAAATTAACCAACTTTCTCACTTTGAATGATTAAGTCTCTGAACTATTTTTGAATCAAAAAACCATTACACTTTCTCATTTTGAATGATTAAGTTCCTGAACATTGCTTTAGGGATAAATAAACAATCGAATTTTTAAGAATTGATTATCCACATTCTTTTAACCCAATTTTCTTTTACATGATTTTACCATTTCCAAACCTACACCATTCAAACCACAATGACATCGCCCCCCTTGCAACTCATCGTCACCCCATCATTTTCCGTTTTCTATATGACCCATCGCCAATATTGGCCCCTGCCATCAATCTCCATTTTTTGATCTGTTTTTCAAATTCTCTTTTTTTTGTACAACAATTTAATGGAGTACACATATACATCTAAAAAAAGATAGACAATTGAAAAACCAAAAACAATCAAAAAGAGGGAGATCGATGGCAGGGGCAACAACAGTGATGGGAGGTGGTAGAATTTTGACAATGATGAGGGGTTTGAATGACGTAGGGTTTCAGAGCAGTAAAACAAATTAGGTTTTCTTTTACTTTAAACATTTCTAGCATGTTTCAGATAACCTTTTTGGGATAAAATAATATAGGTAACCAATTTTTAAAGTTCGATGATTTATTTATTTAAAAAAAAAATTAATGACTTAGCGGCCGTTTACCAAACACTTACCCGGTAAGCGTTTACCTGTAAAATTTAACACTATCATTTACTTACTGGGTAAGATTTTAGTCCATGAAAACGGTATCGTATGCAACATGTACCCGGTAAGCGCTTACCGTAGTAAGAGTCGTCACCCTCACTTACTGGGTAAGACTCTTGGTCCTTGTCTCGTTCTTATTGGGTAAGATTTTTGGTCCTTACCATCTTCATCCGGTAAGGTAATGTGACTTGATGTTCACTTACCCAATTAAGCATTTGGTAAACGACTCTTTAAATTTTTTTTTTTATAAATATTTTTCCATATAAATACCATATACTTGTAACATTTCTAATCCTCTGTAACATGTGTTTCAATGTACACTTGTCTTCAAGTGTTTCTGACATTACTCACTTTTAGATTTGTACTTATACTTTCAACATGTGCCAGTCTCCATCTTTATCATTTACTTCCATCATAGAGCTTTTATTTGCCTTTCTTTATCCCCTTACAACTAAAATGGTCCATAGTTCTATCTAGGGTGCTTAAAAACCTGACCAACCCGATAAACCCGATTAACTCAACCCAATCCAACGTAAAATAACCTAACTCGATGTCTAATCGAGTTGTAAACTTTTCAAACCGTAGGTATTGAGTTGATATTGAGTTGCTATTATTTGAACCCAACCCAATCCAACCCGATGAACCCGATATCTTTTTATTTCTTGAATTTAATATGATTGTTGAATTTCTATTAATATATACATTAAACAATTATACTATCATCTATGTTTTTCATATACACATATTTTCAATCTGTTCATATATTCATATAACTCATTCATATATATGTTCAGTAACTATGAACATATATATGTAGAGAAAAGTAATTGAATGTGATATACGTAAGAAATATGGATAAGTTGTATCAAATGGTTGATGATGAAAAAAGAAATTAAGAGTAGAGAAATAACATATTCAAGGTTAGAAGAATATTTTAATATATCAAAGTATCAACCCGACCAACCCGTATGGGTTGGTTTGGGTTGGGTTGGGTTAATATTTTTTCAAACCGCAAGCATTGAGTTGGGTTGTTCAAATGTGTTCAACCCGATCAACTCAAGTCATGAACACCCCTAGTTCTATCAATGCATTGCTTTGAAAAATACCACTTTTCTTAACGGAGAACACCTTAATTGTCATACCATGGCAATTGGTTCACACAAATCTTAGCTTTACTTGCATCAATCCATGCAATTTTCATCGTCAACCGGCTATTTATAGCAAGTTAACATCATCGACATCGATATCTACAAGTTAGCCTATCAGCTATATGTCAGGGTTCAACTTAGTTATCACCTACCACTTGAACGCGACTTTGATCTCCAAGTTTTTAAGGCAACACATTGTTGCTTACTTGCTTGCTATTTTAGAGATCTCAACTAAGGGGTTGTTTACTAGGTGCTGACTGAGTCAGCAACGCTGACTCGGTCAGCAGTCAGCTTGTTTAGAGAATTACCGCTCTGACCGAAAACTGACCGAGTACTTAAATCTTGAATAGTACAAATAAAAGAGCACCCCATCCATAAATCATGACACCAACTCATCATTTAATATATGCATTTATCTATACATTAGGTCTGTCATAGTCTCATTCAATTTTTCGTTCAATATTTGGTTTCAAGTGCACATGCTTAAACGATGATATTTTAGCCTGGCTATTTCCTTGCTATTTAACCCTTACTATTATTCTCATATCTATTTCTGACCTACATCTTCGTTATATTTGACTCCTCGTTCCTTGTTCAATATCTTGCCATATATGTTATATTGGTATAGATTGCTTACTAGTAACCAGTTCTTACATTCTATCCATATCAACCAGTAAGTGACTTCTACTTATATGACATACAAGAAATCTTTGGAACTTTACAAGTCTAGTTTTTTCACATCCTCTTTTTCATATGGTTTTTTTATTAACCTGGATATCTAACACGCTATGTGAGCCGACTAATCTCAGGGCGACCACCTGCTTTGCAAATAGCCCGGAGTTACCGCATTTGAACCTCCATGGCCACAAAAGAATTTTTATTTCTCATTAGATTTAAACCTAAGACACCCTATTACTTTTTAACTTTAGAAATGATCATTCACAATTTTATTCATATTTATAATCTTATGCATCATTTCCACTAAATGTGATCCTTCACCATCTCTTTGTTGTTACTAACACTATTTTGGAATTACAAACATCATTTCCAAAATACCCCTACAATTAAATAATATGTATTTCAAACGATACTGTACGTATTTGACTTTATAAAATATCCAAACCTGAGATTTGATAATTTAATTATTTACTTCTTAAGAAGGTGTTGTTTGATAAAACATTTAATAACTTAGGTGATCTAATAATGAGATTCAAAATGTCGTATTTGGGCTGGGTAGTTATTGGAATGGCTTAATTGGAGAGATGAATTTATAAGATTATAAAAAGGATTAATTTGACGTTATGGGATGTCATTAAGCCGAGTGCTCAAAGGTTTGACTGAAGTTGACCAAAAGTTAACTTTTGACTCGTTTGGCTGACAAAGATTTTAATAATGGGTTCAAATAAACTATTTGGAATGAATTAGAAGACTCATATATGGAGATGGATTTAAGTATAGTTGACTTTTGGAGAAATTAAGCCCTTAATTGGTGGTATGAAATGTGTAGTCTTTAGTTTTGAGCTATCAGTAGTCGATCTACACAAACATGTGAGTGTTCAATGAGATTTCACTGAGATGCATACCAACAAACAAATTTACCATTGAGCATGATATGATTTGTATGGTGATGTGTATGCATGCATGATGTTTCAGTTTACGTACATGCTACACTATATTTTACATGTATGTTATTTATGATCAGTTGTATGCTATGCGTTTGTTTTGTTTTCAAATAACTCTAGCATGTTGTTTCATACAAAAGTTTTATGATCAGTTTTAGTGGATGGACAATTGACCGGTAATTCACATGACAAGTGACACGACAAAGACAAGTGGGTGATCAAACATAACTAGCAGGTCAACCCAGGGTGTGTTAGTGACCAACTGATTCGTACTCGACCAGAAGATCTATGATTAGTTCTAATGGATGGACATTTGACCAGTAGTATCACACGACAAATGACATGACCCTGTATAGTGTCCGACTGTCCATATAGGTGCAGATCGGACAACCGGGGATCTGAGTGACAAAATGACCCATACCTGACCAAATAATTATGAGATGTTTTTTTATAGTGTTACATGTTTGTTATTTCAAACGAAAATTTTATAATTAGTTTTAATGGGTTGATATTTGACAAGTAATGCCACATGACAAGTGACATGACCTTGCAATGGGTGCTTGGGCAGGTGCAGGTCGGATAACCAAGCAAATGCTAGTGAAAAAATGACCCATATTCGACCAGACAGTTTATGAGATCTCATTTATTTCAACCTTGTATACATTAAAAAGTTGCATACTATTTTATGCGATGTTTTTCATGCTTGATATTCAGGAGAAGATATGATTTTAGTCACGCAAACCATGAACTTATTATGCTTTATAAGCTAACTATAGTATGTATCTTATAACCTAGAACTTCAAGGTCGAACAACAGAAAGAGGCACACCTAGAGACTTGCATACTTATTTCATTGCAATATTTATGATTAGACATTTATATTTGACCTTTGAGGAAGAACACAAATTTAGAGGATGACTACTAAAATCAATACTTATATATGATAATGGAAGATTGTGACTTCTACCTTTTAATTAACATAAATGCTTATTTAATACTAGTCGTCCTATTTCAAAATCATCGTTGCTATTCTTTCGAGGGCAATAAAAGACATTTTTTTTGAAGGGGTCAAAATGTAAAAAAAAAAAAAAGGTTTCGAAACGAGGTCCGCAAGTGAAGGGACCAAATCTGTAAATTAAATAAAGGTCTGCAAATGCACCTCTGCTATTTGCACTCGAGACTAATTTAAAGATTTTGTTCCTGTATTTGCGGACCTGGTTCAGAAACTTTATTTTTTTTCCATGACAGTGGTATGACATGAAGGTTTATTCGAAGATGAAAGCAAAAACAAGTGTGAGATTCAAAGCAATACCTGTTCGAAGATGAAAGCAGTAGAGTTGCAGCGTTCGATCGAAGATGAAAGCAACAGAGTAGGGTTGAAGATGAAAGCACCGTTCGATCGAAGATGAAGGCAGTAGAGTAGGATTGAAGATGAAATCGTTCGATTGAGCAAAAGTGAAAAGAGCGGATAGGGTTTAATAGTAGCAGAAAGGTATTTATGTCATTTAAACACTTTTGGATGGAATTAGAATTCAATTCCATCAGGTTTACTAAGGAATGGTGAATTCCTCAAATTTGGGAATCTTTGGAGTTCAATTCCATTCCTGTGTAACCAAACATTTGAATGAAATTTGGTCAATGAAATTAACCATGTAAAATAAACCAAATTTGATATCGGGCTTAACCACATTTTATATGTGTCAGATCTATTTACTTACTTTTGAAGGTACAAAATCCATTTTTTTTGTCTTTCTTTTTTCCTATATCTATATCAAAATAATACAATTAGATCCGTTCTTCATAGACAAATTTGGGACAAGTAAGACAGAATGGATTCATGTATATTTTATAGAAACGTGAAATCAAAGTAGGCGATAAAGTAGCTGGAAGACATGGAAATAAGGGTATCATTTCAAAAATTTTGCCGAGACAAAATATGCCTTATTTGCAAGATGGAAGACCTGTTGAGTTTTTTTGCTAGGTATTTGACCAAATAAGATCGTCCTAATTTAGTATATAAAAAAATTAGAAGAATTTATAAAGAGAGTTCTTTTTTCTCAATTTCCATCAGATTCCGGTGGATTCCGACCAACCAAACGCCCCTTTAATAGGATTTATATATGTTAAATACCGTTAATGACATATTTTCGTTTAAACGAATGTTAATTACATAATTATAATATACATTTCGTAATAATGATGAATAAATATGTGAAATCGTATAAATTTATTTATAACTTCAACATTATAATTTTCTAATCGGTAAAGTAGACAATTTAAAAAAACTTAGACAGTAATTCATTTACAAAAACAAACAGTCTTATTGATTTAGATTTTAGACTTCAACATCACCTCTTATTAATCAGAAGTGAAATAAAACTTCAGACTTCAGCACTTACTAAAAACACAAACATCACCTTAGCTTAATTTATCTATACTATATTATAAAGCATTTGACAAAAACTCTTAAAACCCACTTTTTATGCGTAAAGTACTGTTTATTWATGCATATTACTTAAAACTCAAGATTACAAGTATATTGTGCGTAAGTACAACTTATTAAAGCTTCATATCTGAATTCATGTAACTAACTGCAGATAAACATAATCAAATAC